ATCAGAAGCTCCGATATTGATTTTGAACCGCGCCTCTACGCCCTTACCATCAGATCATGTCCAGAGTTCGTTAAAGGGTAAGCGGCTAAAAGCACATATTATAGGATCGGATGGGCATGTGAAGCAAACAGGGTTCTAAAATTCTGCGGACTAATTTTGCAGAATGACCTGCGCAAAGTTCAGAAAATTCGGTTGGCTTCCGAGACCATTCCTCGTATGTCAAGTGATGTCTCGAGATCGTGCGAGACAATGACTCCCAGGTCCTTCTCATGTGTGACAGACTTGAGGATATATACTTCAAGTTGACAAAAGTGGATCAAGTCAGATCTCCAACACACTCACTCCAATCCTGGTCTTATATCAATCGACAATTTGATCTTCATGTCCTTATCTAGAGGGTTGGATCAGCGAAGGTCGATCTACAAAAAAGCCTTCAAAACAAATGATTACCAAAACATACCTGAATCAACCCATAACTACCTAACCCTTGGTACCGCCTATCAAGCCTCCCATCGCTCGCTTATGGCTTGTCAGCGATCGCAGGCTGCTCCAACGACAACGAAAACATGACTACCCCGTGACACCAACTAGGTGGTTCGGGCCTAGCCTGTTCCAGGAAGCGTTTAGCAACAGTGCTTCAGGACGTGGTGGGTTTTCGTCTGGCAAGCGTTTTCCCTATAAAAACCACTGATGTCTGTTTAACAGCACTGCGACGAGGCGGATGTGACTCCTTTCTACCTAAAGTCACGGCCCCAACCAACCCACCACACTCCACCACGGACGTCTCCCAACAATTCTCATACTATCCACGCGATCAATCATGATTGTATTGGCACATATTCAAACTGGAAAAACGGATAGACACATGCACTTCTACATACATGTATGAACTCTCAGCTTCAATGTTCATGGCTAAGTTGCATCATGTTTTATACATTCCCCGACATTTAGTTTTAAATTTAACATGACCATGCCTACATAGGCGTGTCTCGCACTGCACGAGAATAAAGAATTTATTTATTTATGATATGCACCGGAAGGATCCAAGCTACCATTCGGGAGAACGGCACCTTTGTCACGGTTTCCCAGTAGTCGTCACTTAACGGACCAGCTATGCAGCTGGGCAAGAGAAGCTAGGTTTCCGACGGCAGCCACGAAGCGATATTTTGAACCACAGTCTGAGGTCATCTGCGTAGTCCAGACGCTCGGTTTTAAGTGTCGCTGGAAGCTCTTTGAAGTACAGTTTAAAGAGATCTGATCAAAGGATGAAGCCTTGGGGAACCCCGCTGGTCTTAAGCCCAGGACACAGAGTGTTTAGTTCACCAGCACGTTAATGGTTAGTGCTTCCAAGGAAGCTGAAATCCAGAACAAGACGCTTTTGTTGCCACCAAGTTCCTGAATTTTGAGTAGCAACCGTTTATGTGGCACTTTGTCAAATGCCTTGCTGAAGTCAATAATGACGACATCAACTTGGAAAGTTCAAGGTCACGGCGTGCTTGTCTTGTTTCATAGCTTGAGATTGTCTTGACTGAAATCCTTGTTTGAGAATAGTAGTTGAATACCACTACATAGAAAATTTGGCTTTGTCAGTTTTCTTGTGATTGGAAAGTACTTGGAAGTGCCAACGTACTCGGAATCTCTTGTGTGCCTTCCTTTGTCACAGCGTGGTTGTCGTGTTTCTCTGCTTGAGTATTCCTTCTCGAAAGCCTTCTGTGGAAACAGTGTTGAATAACTCTGAGCATAAACTGTCCAGTGTACCAGCGTTGGAAGATCTTAAATTGTTTACTTACTGTTCGTGGTTTTCGCATCTAAATATTGGCCTCTGTTTGAAGACTTCAATGCAAAAGGTTCCGTGCTTTGTCGATATCTCATCCATCGAGTACAAATCGGGTTGATATTCGATCGCGCGAACCTGATCAATCCCTTGTTCATGAAGTCTCTCCCAGCTCCATCGGAGAACAGCTTTTGGAGGGTATTCTACAGAAAAGCCTGTTTTGGTCTTCATTGCTACTTTGCTTATTTTGGTGAGTCCAAATCTGTGCAAACGAATTACTCCGGGTTCCACTGATTGCTGTTTACGTTGTCTGCATTGTAGCCTACCGTACCCCGGTTCACGTTCCTATTATCTGTTAAAGTTTTTCAACTTTCTTTATGGTAAGGATATCCTGTTCCAAGTGGCCCTCGGACCCATTAACCGATTCGGCATCTGTTTGTGGTAAAACGAGTTGCTCAGAACCAGTTACTGGCTGGTGGCATGCTGGTGGCATGCAATGTGACCTCTGCAGTTCTTGGTTCCATGAGGCTTGTACTGTGTTGGATAGACAGCAGTATATCTATAGCGGGTAGATCGTGCGCTATATATCCAGTACACGACTAGACGACCAACCAAAAGTAGTGGGTAGAAGACACAAAAGTAAACTAGGGAAGAAGTTTATTGGACGGGAGGATCGTTAGCTAATGCTAAAAATAGGGCACCCGGAGAGAGCTAGCTAGGGAGAATGTCGTTGGCGTCGAGAGCGTAGACGGATCGTCGTTCGCAGTCGAGCCGCGCGCCAAAGGCGGAGATCCTTTTCGTGTTTTCAACAAACGGGAACAACGTTCCAACAGGCAAACCGAATAGTTCCCTAATACATAAGAAAGCTATAATTTGAATATTTTAGAATAGTTTACACCGTCATACGGGGGAATCTCCAGGTCGCTAGACATCCTCCTACAAAACAGCGATAATTTACCTTATAATTGCCCTGGTTGTGTGAGGCACAAGGCATGTCGTCTAGTCCCAGTTGCTGAATTTGAAACTTTGGTGAATGGAGTGGGTACCCTTCTATCTTTGTTTAGTTCTTTAGAGGGAAGTTTGCACAAATCGTCGTAAGCCTTGAACGTACAGGCCTTCTCAGAACAAGCGTGCGTTTAGACGAATACATAAATAATACGGCTTCGAAGGATTCACGAACTCTTGAGGCGGCGCCTAAAGATGGTAAACATCCTGAAGTTATATTGAACTCAGTTGTGAGTGGGGAAGTTGTACAGACCAGTGTATCTGCGAAGGCAAAGCGACGCAAGATAAAGAAATCCATAAGTACAACCAAACCCAAGCTAAAAGATGTAACGGTGGGCTCTGTCGATACTGCGTCCCCGGAAATAAAGGCAGAAAACTCTTCCACCTCACTGCTGGAATCCTTCTTCTGTGCACCTGCTGTTCCTAATAAGGAGGATATGAACTTAAGCGTTGCGTCGTCCACTGATACGGTGATGCGTGCCGTAAACACCCCTCGTCGTAGGGATGCATTTACGGATAGCAGCGTTATCTTTAGGAATATCTCGGAGTCCTCTGCGGCTCTTCCGAAAGATCGCATGCTTGACGATCTTCATTGGTTCAAACTTTGAATAGCTAAACTACTTCTACCCAGATTTCCTGGGGTTACTGTTAGAAAACTTACTAGGCTTGGAAACATCGGGTGATAGTACTAAATGTAGACCCCGTCTATTACGCGTTGTCCTATCTACACCGGAGGATCGCCAAGCTCTTTTGCGCTTCGCCTTTAAACTAAAGGGTTCCGGAGTGAGTATGCAGCCGGATCTACCTTTAGCTGATAGGATAAAGCTTAAGGTAGCCATCAAAAACCTTAAAGCGCGTCGAGAAGTTGGCGAGAAAAGTTTATATTTGGTGGGTTTTCGGGTGGTGAGCCGACGGTCCACTTCCGCCTTACCAGAGCCCATTCTGGTAGCCCACAACCCGTGGCTCTCCATACCAAACGTTTGCACATAGTTCTTAGGAATGTGCGTAGCCTGCCAAACAAGAATTGTGAATTAGCGGCACTAATACTCCACTCCCACCCTGATGCACTCGCGTTCACTGAAACCTGGTTGTCCTCTGACGTCATAGACAGTGAATTATACGTTCCGGGCCACGCATTACTGAGATCCGACCGCCCTTCTGATTGCCGCGGAGGTGGAGTCGCCTTGTATATCAGATGTGGAGTAAACATACCAAAAACACATACCTTTAACTCAGCTGATAAAACTGTTGTAGCTCTTGCAGTTAAAGTCTTTACCGAATCAACGCAACTTAAAATTGTTCTGCTGTATAGGAGCCCTGATAGCGCTTCTGGGAGTTTCATTGACTTCATCCACACTCACTCTGCGAACAGATGCTTGATAATGAGGGACTTAAACGTCCCTGAATTAAATTGGCATGACCTATCTTATGAGGCAGCGACAACAGGGGTGGCTGCCGAGCTTGTTGACTTTACACTGGAAGTACCCTTACACCAGTTTGTCGATCGATCCACCGCGTACATGGTGGGTCATGCTCCCTCTCTGTTGGACCTCGTTTTCGCAAAGTCGGTTGACTTTGTGAATGACCTTGAGTACGGTCCCCGTTTGGGAGCCAGTGACCATACGTGTTTGTCATTCACTTGTGCGCTCATTAGAGACTATGATTCACGCAGGGTCCGGACTCCGAACATTTGGCACGCCGACTTTCCGTCTATTAGAGCCAAGGCAGTAAGTTTCCCATGCATAATGTTCCCGGATGATGATACACAGATAGATTGGGTTACGTCTAAGTCTTTCCTCTTTAACATATCCCACCCCCACATCCCGCTTTCGGTAAAGAAGAGTACCAAAGCGAAGCCACCAAGGTTGGACTCAGTCGCACGTCAACTAATGAATAGGTGGGCAAGATGCTGGTGGATCTACCGGACAGTTCTCTCAGAATGTACTCTTCGGCGTTATCGTGAAGCTCGGAATGCTTGCAAGAGTCATTTACGAGCTGCTAGACTTAGCTATGAGATGGAGCTGGCTAACTCAGCTTCCGCGAATCCCAAAAGATTCTTCGCCTACGGCAAAAGGCGTAGTAACGTTGGCTCATCTATCCCAGTGTTATTAGGCAACGACGGCGCCACTGCTGCCACTGATCACGAAAAAGATGTCTACTCAGTGCGCAGTATGCTGGAACTTTCGTTCAGGATGAGCAATTGCCGCATCTTGACCTAGCAATGACAGTCCTCCAGGACTCTTGTTTAACACACGTCATAATTTCGGAGGCAAAAGTTCTCCATCTTCTTCAGGGGCGAAATCCTGCTAAATCCGCTGGGATGAATGATAACCAACCTATACTTCTGTACGAACTCGCAAGCGAGCTATGTGGCCCAGTGACGCGTTTGTTTCAATTGTTGCCTCGCAGCTGCTCCTTTCCAAAGGACTGGAAGGATGCTATCTTGTGCCAGATTTTTAAAAATGGCGAGATGCATCTCCCTGCCAATTATAGGCCGGTAAATTTGACAAGCGTACTGGTCAAGGTATTAGAGAAGTTGATCAGAGATGTGCTTGAAGACTACTTGCAGGAGTTTGGTCTGCTCAGTCCACTGCAACACGGCTTTCGCAAGGGTCATTCCTGTATGACTAATTTTCTAGTTGCACGTGAAGGTTGGGCGGATGCTTTGGAGCGTGGTCATGCAGTAGATGTAGTGTTTGTTGACTGCTCCAAGGCGTTCGACACTGTATCACCTTCTCGCCTTTCCTTGAAACTTCGGCCCTATGGAATATCCGGACGTGCACTGAAATTGATCACCACGTTTCTGGAAGGGAGCGAGATTTGTGTTCGTGTGGGGTCTAGTCTGTCTTTCCGTCAGACATTCCTCAGTGGGGTCCCTCTGGGTTCTGTGTCTGGCCCGTTGTTATTTTCCTTGTATGTCAACGAGCTGTCCGAACTGCTGGAGGTACCAACTCTCATGTTTGCAGATGACCTAAAGTTTTGGCACATAATGTTTAACTTCGACGGACCCCAGACTCTGCAACGGGCCCTCGATAAATCTTGGGACTGGGTTGCTCTGTGGCAGTTACCCATAACTTATGCCAAATGTTCCATCTTACGAATAGGTCCAAATAGCCCCAAACGCGTTATTTGCTTGGCGGTAATGAACTACACCATGTTTCCCAGTTAGCAGACCTAGGGGTCAAGTTGTCTTCAGAACTTAAATCCAGTGAGAACTGAAGGAAAGCTACGTGCAAGGGTTTCAGCATATTGTGGATGATCCGCAGGGCATTCGGGACCATCACGGGCGCTAGGTTTGTTAGGTTATTCTCAGCATTTGTCAGGCCACACTTGGAATACTGCATCCACGCTTGTCCACCTTGCTTAGTCAGGGACAGGAGGTCAGTGGAGAGAGTGTTGAGAGTTGGAACCAAACTGGTCCATGGACTGCGGAACCATTCTTATCCAGAAAGACTGCTTGCGCTGGGAATGTTCGCGATGCATTACGTTTACTGCAGAGACTCATTGTAGGCTCCATATATCTTTGAGCTTATCTGGAGCTACTAGGAGACATTCCTTGTTTCCACATCCTGTAATCTCTCAGATTGTATGTATCACTTACCCTCACTGGCGTGTTGATGTGTTCTGTGACACTGTAGGAATCCACTTGTGACCAAAGTGTCTAATGGAGTGGCTACATCAGGCCAGTGAAAGTCTCTCGAAGCGCCATTTTCTGTCGATCCTCTTTACCTCAGCACTTCTACTTAGTAGCAACTAGTGGTCGAGGGCTCCGCGTATCTCTCTGCATATTCGGAGCTTGCTAAATGCCACCCTCTTTCATCCCCAACCTTCATTCTTCTTGACTGTCTGCTCAAATTCATTTGCAGTCCGTTGATTTATCCGGGACACTTAAGGTATCCACTAGCCACTAGAAGGCTCCACCCCAATGCCATTGCTAGTTGCGGATACTCTCTATCTCACCTTGTATCATTATCAGTTCTTCGCGTTACCTACGTCACCAATTTCCAGCTGCAGCTAGTCATTATAGGTAGTATACATCTTTGTGATAGGAGCCACTCCGTATCTCTCCAACTTACTCTCTTGAATTGTTAGCATCACACACCTTCACTGGTTTGTTGGCTTCTACTGTCACTGTAAGTATACAATGGAAAAGCTAGAACGCTTAATAGAATTCCGTTGCTGCCCACTGGTTCTCTCCATTAGCACAAGTATCCTTCGTTCTTATCTTCATTACGTTTACTGCAGAGACTCATTGTACGCTCTATATATCTTTGAGCTTATCTGGAGCTACTAGGAGACATTCCTTGTTTCCACATCCTGTAATCTCTCAGATTGTATGTATCACTTACCCTCACTGGCGTGTTGATGTGTTCTGTGACACTGTAGGAATCCACTTGTGACCAAAGTGTCTAATGGAGTGGCTACATCAGGCCAGTGAAAGTTTCTCGAAGCACCATTTTCTGTCGATCCTCTTTACCTCAGCACTTCTACTTAGTAGCAACTAGTGGTCGAGGGCTCCGCGTATCTCTCTGCATACCTGGAGCTTGCTAAGTGCCACCCTCTTTCATCCCCAACCTTCATTCTTCCAGACTGTCTGCTCAAATTCATTTGCAGTCCGTTGATTTATCCGGGACACTTAAGGTATCCACTAGCCACTAGAAGGCTCCACCCCAATGCCATTGCTAGTTGCGGATACTCTCTATCTCACCTTGTATCATTATCAGTTCTTCGCGTTACCTACGTCACCAATTTCCAGCTGCAGCTAGTCATTGCAGGTAGCATGCATATCTACGCTAGAAGCCACTCTGCATCTCTCCAACTTACTCTCTTGAATGGTTAGCATAACATACCTTCACTGGTTTGTTGACTTCTTCTGTCACTGTAAGTATCTAATAAAAAACTAAAGGGCTCAATGGAATTCCGTTGCTGCCCACTGGTTCTCTCCATTAGCACAAGTATCCTTCGTTCTTATCTTCATTACGTTTACTGCAGAGACTCATTGTAGGCTCCATATATCTCTGAGCTTATCTGGAGCTACTAGGAGACATTCCTTGTTTTCACATCTTGCAATCTCTCAGATTGTATGTATCACTTACCCTCACTGGCGTGTTGATGTGTTCTGTGACACTGTAGGAATCCACTTGTGACCAAAGTGTCTAATGGAGTGGCTACATCAGGCCAGTGAAAGTTTCTCGAAGCGCCATTTTCTGTCGATCCTCTTCACCTCAGCACTTCTACTTAGTAGCAACTAGTGGTCGAGGGCTCCACGTAGCTCTGCATATTCGGAGCTTGCTAAGTGCCACCCTCTTTCATCCCCAACCTTCATTCTTCTTGACTGTCGGCTCAAATTCATTTGCAGTCCGTTGACTTATCCTGGGACACTTAAGGTATCCACTAGCCACTAGAAGGCTTCACCCAAATGCCATTGCTAGGTGCGGATACTCCCTATCTCACCTTGTATCATTATCAGTTCTTCGCGTTACCTACGTCACCAATTTCCAGCTGCAGCTAGTCATTGCAGGTAGCATACATATCTACGCTAGAAGCCACTCTGCATCTCTCCAACTTACTCTCTTGAATGGTTAGCATAACATACCTTCACTGGTTTGTTGACTTCTTCTGTCACTGTAAGTATCTAATAAAAATGAAATGGTTCAATGGAATTCCGTTGCTGCCCACTGGTTCTCTCACTTAGCACAATTATCCTTCGTTCTTCTTATCTTCATTACGTTTACTGCAGTGACTCATTGTAGGCTCCATATATCTTTGAGCTTATCTGGAGATACTAGGAGACATTCCTCGTTTCTTCATCCTGTAATCTCACAGAATGTCTGTATCACTTACCTTCGCTGGCTTGTTGATGTGTTCTTTGACACTGTG